CAAACAGGAGAAAAACTTCTTTACATTATTCAATCAATTATTTCAATTATCTTCAATTATTCCATTATTGTGTCAAGTCATTGAAGACAATCTGCCAAAATTGCTCTGAATCAGTAATTCTAGAAACGAGATAAATTGGAGTTTTATTTAAGAAATTCGATCGATTTGTCCCAAAAATATGAAAACAAGCTTCAAATGCCTTTTGAGACGTAAACGACGAGCCCCTAATTATGTTAAAAAATGTCACTCCAGGTTCATTTTATTTCAATCTATGAATCAAAATATCAATGCAATTATTTTAGTTTAACAGACAATTAATTCTCTAAAAAGCGCTACAAACGGCGACAAGCTAGATTGAGCCGCCTATTTATGGAAGAGTGTGGCAATCGCAAGATACCATCCACATCCATTAGCACCGGCACAAGCAGAATTCAACATGCAATAAATTGTGAATTAAGAAACATACACAGATGTGTTAAAGGGCGGTAATCACAAAACCTTCGAAGTGACATTTACTTGTCATTCAATGAAAAGAAGTTATCCCCCATTTATCAAATGGGTGTGTCCTGAACTAGAAAACAATAAACGGAACTAAACAAATACAATCTTGAAAGTGGATAAGTGGTTATCTAGCTAGCATGTCACATATAAGACTACAAAATTTACGAATAAAGAAAAGCAGGTAACAAATCCTAAATAAATGAGAATAAAGATCGACAAGGCAAAGATGATTTAGTAGGAATGCCCAGAAAGAAACAGAACGAACAAAACATTATTTTAAGCGACAGATATTACCGTTTCTTTCTTTTTTTTTTTATAGCATAAAGGATATAACGAGTCCATTAATTTCACCAACTACTTCATATAGAGGTCTTTTCACGCCTTTTTATCCCCAATGAGACCTCAGATAGTCAAAAACCTCTTATCAGCAATGGTGTTAAAAAGTAATCATTTTATTTCGGCGCCATTCCTATCAAATAGATACATCAAGGTTGTGACGGCGGGGGATGTGCCCCCTTCTGTGTGGGGGTTTGAAGGGGGGTCGATAGACCCCCATAATCCCCAAGAAAATGTTGGACTTGTGATAGGCTAAATTTGGCCTCAGATCGACTTAAAGGTAACATGTAACTTACGTTGAACAGCCTTGTTCCTATCTCAATCCATTGATAAGTTTTAGAATTTTGAAATCAGTTTTGATGGAACAATCAATGCAAAATAGTGATTTTGGCAATTTTGAAATGCACTTCGTTGCCATTGTAACAGGAAATTTAAGATTGAGTATTCTGTTACAAAGGCTACAGTCAACATTTGTGCCAAGTTTGAACAGTATATACGCCTTTTTTATATGTTTCATATCAATTTGAATTTTTAACAAGAGGCTTTTCAATAAAAACAGCCATTTTGAACAGAATGCTCATTGAGTAATGGGTTAACTAAAAAATACACGTTCTTTAACGAAATAATGTTCTAAGTTGTTATATTTGAATCGTTACACTATTTAAGATATGTAACTATTACAAAATAAAACACTCTAAAATTGATTTTACTAATATTGTCTTTGAAATTTACAATGCAGTGAAGCTTAAGAAACAAGAGAGTCTCAAAACTCAACAAATTGCCTTTTCGTAGGTTTCAAATTAACCCTTCCGTAACAAACAACTCTCACATATAAAAAAAAATCAAGATTCGTAATGCAAGTGCAGAATGCAATAATAATAATGAATGGCGTACATCTGAAGCAGGGTGTTGATTTAGAATCTATAAATTGTAAAGACTCCACAAATTACCACACTTTAGGTTTCCAATTCACTCTATAATAAAACTGAAGAATATCAATAAATGCACTTAAGCTTACAGTACACAGTGCAATTTTAAACAGCGAACATCTGAAGCAACTTTCAGATGAGGTTTAATCGAAATAACTAATGATGTTTCATTAACCATTTAGATTTCTAATATTTACATATCTTGCAAAACGCAATTGAGTCATTCAGTACATGCAGCGTATTAAGATTGATTTAAAGTGACATTTTATCTATCCAAAGGTATAAAGTGAGTGAACAGGTGAAGGTCAAAATAAACTAACATTCTGCCGCATTTCCTTTCAATTTTATAATTTAGTTCACGAAAACGATAAAATATTCACGTGGCCCAATATAATTTCGTTGATATCAATCGGGATTTACCTGTAGTGTTCAATTTATAAAAAGTAGTGAAACAGTCTTTTATTTATTAAAATACCTAATTGTTTCCTAATATCAATATCTGAATAGTCAATTCAGCTCAACATGAAACAATGAAAATATAAGCATACTTTTAAATTTATCGAAACGACAATAATTTACACCCAAAGTCAGTGTGTAAAATCGTTTATATTGTTTGTTTGTTTGTTTGTTTTATTTTACGCCTTTTCCCAACAGTATTTCAGTCATATAGGCGGGTAGTTTCCTAACCATCGTTCCTGGAGAGTTACACCAGTAAAAATCGTTTATATCAGTGTATACTAACCATCAATTATATTGAAATATATGGGCTAAAATTGGCATCGACATCTAATTAAGAAAGTCATCAACAAAAACTATCACAAAAGGGACTGTTTTGCTTAATCCATTGCCTGCAAGTTACAATTAATCACTTCTGTAAGCTTTTGTAGGTATAAAACTGTCTGTGTATTCAAATTTATGTTGGCATCATATGCAAATTAATTCACACCAAATAAAATACTAACAATAAACATTTAACGTTTGAATTACGTGAAGTTTCAGGTAGGATGTAATCTTATAAATATATCTTCGTTTCCAAAACATCAATATAAAATCCATATCACGCCGGCATTGCCTTCTTTTCTTTTTCCGAGTCCAAATATCTATATCAAATGCATATTGATTTTAATAAAGCCACATTTCCATTTTAACATTTTTATCAACTCTGTATATACTTGAAGAAACAAGGTAAAAAAGTGAAATAATGAGGTCATTATACATTGTTGAGAGCAATACTTAATATATTGGACTCGTCCTATATATTACATGTATTACTCGGCTAGCTCCTCGTCCAGTATATATTTGACAGCTGTATACTTGTACAACGAAAATCAAGATTGAACTAAACAATGTTTAATAATCTTATAATACCGTTTAATATTATTATATGATAGATATGATAAAGCGTACATGAAATAATTATCTAAAACATTTTTGTTGCCTAATTAATATCTGATTACCGAATCAAATTGTGCTAAAATTCACATTTATCATATTTTACATATGTTTTTCCATTTACTATCGGCATTGTCAAGCACAAATAACAAAACCAAATGAATATGAAACTTTAGAAAGCAATATTCAACTTTGAACTCATTGAATGAATCAGCATGCTAAATTAAAAGAAAAATAAAGCTAAAAATGCTCGTTTGTATGATTTAATGATGCAAAATTGAATTTCAAACATTTAACCGAAATTGTTTTACTTCGATACTCAGTCTCTACTGAAAAACATGTGTGAGCTCTTAATACTTCCTTGTAAAACAGAGCTCGAGGTTGTCATGATCTTAGCAATACATACTATGGAAGTGTTTTTTCCAGTATTAGAATACATCATAGTTCTGAAGTCCCAATGTAGTATGAAAATGTAAAGAAAAATATGACATCCCAATAAGCGAAGAATGGTACAAAAATAGCTGAGACTCTTCCTTCCTATACATATGCCATATAACAGATAGACACATATGACATTTATGAAAAGGAACGATGTGTTTTGTCAATATGATTGCTGGATTATTATCTATATTATGTCTATAGATACCAACGTGTCAGAAAGGATTGTTGCGGATGACATATTACATTTGTCTAATAAAGTTTGAGAACAAACCTGTCAATTGTCTAACTAACAAGCAATGATTTAAGTGGAAACTGTATGTGAACGTGATGCAAAACGAATAACAAATTGATAAAAGAATAATTCCACCAGAATTCCAGATAATTGTAAATCAAGAACAAAGCTTTTGTCTCTGTCATAGAAAAAGGTTAATGATCTAAATACAGAGACAATGACCTACTGCCAGAAATTCCTAATGAGTCTTCATCTGTTGAACCTCCTAACTTTGCAAATGCAAAATGTTAAGTTATTACTTATTATATTGGCACTTGACTGTGTCATTAAACGGTATTGTAAAACTAGATGTGTAATACATTGACTGGTTTATACGGACTGTATTTACTGTTAATGTTTATAATAGTTATGAAATGCCAATTTCTGACGTGTTTAGGTAGAAAAATAAGACCGATACCTCATAGAATTAATCGTGAATATTAAAAGAGGATTTTTATGTGAAATAATTTTATATTAACATTTGTTAATTTTATTTAGTATCTGTCACATTACAAGTACATTTAAACAGTTTCCTAAACATAAGAGAGAAATGAATAAAAGAAATGTGTCATCATGCCATGGATGCCCCCGCATGCAGCCAAAATTTCAGATGTTATAATATTTAGTTCCAAATTTGTTGAAATTATTTTTTTCATTTTAAGTTCAAAGCCCTTAAAACTTTTCAATGTTAACACAAACCATTTACATACAATGTTCAAGGCACTGAAATTATTCAGTCTTAACCTTTTGAAAATAGCATATTTCATATTTGTAGCCAAAATAATGGCTACATACATTTCCACAAAAGTATGAGTGCTGAAACTGAAAGTTCAAAATTTTTCCAACATTCAAGAAAGATAACTTTGTCCAAAATCATTGAACCACGACCAAATTCAAATTTAAACTGCTTATTCCTAAGATGTATCTATATTATTTTCAAAGTGAAAGGGACATAATACTGTCAAAAAATCATCGAACCATGACCAAATTACAACTTGACCTGCCCATTCCTTTGACATATCCATATGTCAAATTTGAGTTGAATATGTAAAACTGTTGGGTAGATAATGAACAGAAACTGTCAATTTCATATTATTTTCAAAGTGAAAGGGGCTTTACTCTGCCTTATCGCATGACCGCCACAACTTTCCTTTGAAGATCGGCGTTCTCTAAATTTCAGTATTGGAAAGGTTTGGGGTGCTCTAAATGAGGTATCAGTACGTTTTGGGGTGCTCTAAATGAGGTATCAGTACACTTTCTCGCGCATGCCCAGTTTATTATTTTATTTCAAATAATTAAGTGAGCATACCTGAAAAAGAGCAAAACAAAACCGAAAACATTGAAAGAACTAATTTTTATTTATCAAATTTACAAATCATGTCTATCTTTTTTTCTGCTTCTTCAAAACTTAAAAATACAGTTATTATAAACATGTTGTCCTCCCCCGAACAAATTTCCGGGTTTCAAAGCGGTAGATTGGTTGTTTTTGGATTCGTCACCACTTGCGTGAGTTGCGTCATGTAGAAGCGTTTCTGTTGATGGTTTATTCAACGTTTCGCTTTTGACCTGTTCCGTTGATTTCCATTCTGGCGGATTTAATTTATTGGAAATGTCTACCAACATTTCATTACTGGGTTTATTATAACGTCGGACACCGGCCACGGATCGATGGCCTGTTCGTTTCATGATTTCTTGTTCGGGTACATCCTTCTGATAAAGACTTGTTGCGCAAGTCTTTTTTCCAGAGTGATTAGTGTAAACACCTTCAAGTCCCGCGAGCTGACATATTTCTTTCATAAAACCTTTTAGTTTATTCACGCCTACTACTTGATTTGAAAAACGCACTTCTCCTGGCTTCCGGGAATGAATTGGTCTCTTATAAAACGCTCCATCTCCAACGGATTTCAAATACTGGTCATAGTAATCCACTATGTTTTGCCGATTGTTGTAGTGTTTTATCACTTTAGGTTCAATACGGCGGTGTTTCAGGCCACCGTTATACGTTTTAGAGTTCTTTCCTGTATAAACTATAAACTTTTCATTAGAATCTGAGCCTATTTCAAACTGATCAGTTTCCAAATTCCTGTGTTCGTCATATCCCCTTAAACCGAAGAGTTTACAGTTATAGAAGAAAACAGTGTGCTGTAAAGAAAGAGCGTTTTTATTACCAAATACACCCTTTTCCCAAATAACTTTTTCTTCGTCTTCTAAAATGGGCTGAGCTTCCCGTCTTTTGCCGACGACGCCTTCTTTCGTTAGAAATTTCATCTGTGCATCAAGTACACTCCTAAACCTTGCATAATCAGGATTCTTCTCGTCCAAAAAGTTTATGCCAGATATTCCACAATCTCGCAGCTTTCTAAGAAGGCCACATACTAAATGGTAGAGGGACTCGGGTGGAAAGTACTCGCCATTCTGCTTCCTGACCTCGACGACAAATCTGAAACAATGATCAATATTTAAATGTTTAGATTTAAACAATGCCTATGTTTAACAGTCAAGTCAGTGAATCACAATCGGAACGTCCTCGGCTATTATCTATAATAACATCGGAAACAAAACTGATTGAAGGTAGTTCTACCACGTGGTTTTTAATGCAAACAGAAACAGCGTGTGTTATGTAAAACGAATGTATATTTTGACATCCAAAGGAAAATAATGTTTCGGTACAATTATGATTGAAAATATGTTTAACAACACTTTTTAATTAAACAATCCCAACTGATGTACAATATTAATCAAATTCGACTTGAAGTCATTTAGTACTTTCGGTTTCTACAACCCTATTAAAGGGACTCCACTGATGTTTAAAAGCCTAAAAACATAACATTTGAATTTCTTACATAAATTAGCTTGGGCACTTTAAACAGAATTATATGCAAAGATAGTTAAGATATATACTTTGAAATAAATTGAAAATCATATCTTTAGGCTTTTCGTAGCCCGATTGAGTAAAAAGCGTTTAAACGCTTTTCATTTTGGGTCATTTTTGACAATTTGAAAAATTATTCTGGAAAAACGAAGTGCACAAATGATCTGAAATTATGCACAAAGATTAGTGGTCTAAACCTACATCAAATGGTACATTTATCTGGAAAAAATATTTTCAGTCCCATCATGTCAAAAAACCTCAGTGGAGTCCCTTTAATAATTATATAAATAATGTATTGTTTGCTTTTGTATCTATGAATTCACTTATATTAGTTGGACTTTTACTTGATATAATCGAAATAAACATTTCAACTGCTCCCAACATAAAATTACGATATATCTCTGAAATATAGACTAGAGGATTTGCTAGATTATATTTTCAAATCGAGGTAGAAATTAATATTTAACACTGAGAAAGATTCATGAACTTACCTCGACAAATGGATATAAATGTCCATTTCGTCCAACACTGGTATTCCAGGCTTCGTTTTTCTCCACGCCTCAAGTGTATTGTAAGCCCATTGCGTGTTACGGTCCGTGTTCTTTGACCTTTGACCTTGAACCAGCGCATCAAGGTCAGAGTCGGACACGCTTTCTCCAAAACGTTCTCTTTTTTCATTAATGAAGGGTTTCTCTTCCTGCTTAAAATCCTGGTCAAAGTCAATCAATTGGAAGTTGCCGAAATAGTTCGGTTGTACATCATTTTCAAAAGTATCCATTTGACTACTTGTCAGTAGGCCTATGTCATTAAAAACACTACTACGCTCAATTTCACTTAATGTCTGTGAAAGTAACAAATCATCCTGTGTAACGTTTTCACTATTAAACGTAGTGCTCATTTCAAACAAGTCCAAAGCCTGCGATAAAACAAAATCATCATTATCTAACTCCATATTTGTCCCACGACGGGCAAACTGAAAATGACAAGAATTTGGCGCTGGATAAGGTAAACTGCTAGGGCTTAGCGCAAACGAATGTGATTGGTTCATTTTTCTAGGGGTTCACTATATCTCTGGCAGCGAAGGAGCAGAGGCACCGAATGGGTGTATTTCTATGTGTATCTCTAAAATTATCATTTGTTTAAATCATGCGATAATACGAGAGAGCGAAAATCTCCAAGAAAAAGTTGTGGCGGTCATGCGATAAAACAGTTACAGAATATTAACTCGGACTTCACCGGCTGGTATCAGCGCATGGGGCGACAAAAAGGGTCAATCATGGAAATTAATCTCGACGTTCCGTCTCGATTAATTTCCTATGATTGACCCTTGTTGTCGCCCCATGCGCTGATACCAGCCGGTAAAGTCCTCGTTAATATTCTATAACTATTACAAAAATCATTGAACAATGACCAAATTCGAACTTGGCCTGGGCATTCCAAAAACATATCCATATGTCAAATTTGAGTTGAATGTGTTGTACCGGTGGGGAGATAATGAACAGAAACTGAAAATTTCATATTATTTTTAAAGTGAAAGGTGCATAACTCTGCCAAAAATCATTGAACCATGACTAAATTTGAACTTGACCTGCGCATTCCTTTGACATATCCATATGTCAAGTTTGAGTTGAATGTGTTGTACCGTTGGGGAGATATGAACGGAAACTGAAAATTTCATATTATTTTCAAAGTGAAAGGGGCATAACTCTGCCAAAAATCATCGAACCATGACCAAATTTGAACTTGACCTGTATTTTATCATGACATATCCATATGTTAAATTTGAGTTGAATGTGTTATACCGTTGGGGAGGTAATGAACGGAAACTGAAAATTTCATATTATTTTCAAAGTAAAAGGGGCATAACTCTGATAAAAATCATTGAACCATGACCAAATTTGAACTTGATCTGTATTTTATCATGACATATCGATATGTCAAGTTTGAGTTGAATGAGTTGTACCGTTGGGGAGATAATGAACGGAAACTGAAAATTTCATATTATTTTAAAGTAAAAGGGGCACAACTCTGCCAAAAATCATTGAACCATGACCAAATTCGAACTTGACCTGTATTTTCTCATAACATATCGATATGTCAAATTCGAGTTGAATGTGTGCAACTGTTACTAAGATAATGAACGGAAACTGATGATGACGGAATGACAGAATGACGGAATGACGGAAGGACGGAACAGGGTAACAATATATGCCCCGGCCATTACATGGCGGGGGCATAATAAAAAGTACTATTTTGTATAGACCATTTAGAACTTGATTATACATTTACATAACTTTGTAAGTTTTTTTGTCACAAGGTTTGTTTAAGCTTAAGAAACATTGTGTCGTAAAAATTCGTGATATACTATGCGGATCACAAATGAAATATTCTTTTATATACTGGCTATGTTGTATGTAGAAAATCCATTCATTGCGCTAACGATCAATAAAATTTCACTCAAAGTGCATCAGTAGAATAAGAGTGACTTAGTCTCGATCAATGAAAAAAAAAGTAAATATTTCAAGGGCTATACAATTCTAATAAAAATGTTTTTAACTTTCCTATACATTAAGGACTATCTTTGACAGACAAATTATTCACCTATCTATACGCAATTCAAGTAAGAAATAAAATGAAATCAATATAAAACCCTGCTTTAATTTGATTTAAATGATATGACGCTGGTTTATTGCGTTATATCTAATACAAGCCGAAAATAGAAAAACAAAACACTCATCGCTGGTCTTCAATCAAAACATATTCATTATGTGTTGTTTGTTTGTTGATAGGATGGGCAATATCATAATTTATTGTCATTGATAATATTTATAACTCTTAGCAATTTGTCAGTTTTGCAGTTATATTCTTTTGATGCTTTTATACACAAATGATATTTTTAGATAACTTTAAATGAGATTGTACGGGGTCCTTTTTGTTTGAAGCTATTTTTGCCTCATAAATACATACCATATTAATTCATATATGAGCTCATTATGATCTGAGTACGTGTTCACGACAAGGCAACGTTCTATTTAAAATAAGGAAGGAAATACGCCAATTGATTACTGTTACTTTTCTAAGAATATTAGATTACACTAGCGTTCAATGTTACAGTAATCACGGCAATTTATCTGTCTTATCTCTAATTGAGTGTTCAGGTGGTAAATTATTATATGTATGGACATTTGATTTGTGGCTTTTTACACTTCAATGGAATTTGCTCATCTAATTAAAGACCCCCCCCCAAAAAAAAAAAAAAAAACAAAAAAACAAAAAAACAAGAACCGGTTGAACCAGGTGATGCTCCCCGAGAAGGTTCTGGACACAGGAAAGTATAAAAAAAAATAACAAAGGGCAAAAACTCCAAAATTAGGCAAAGCGGAGTTATGTTTTTTGCACTGCACTTCTATTCAATGAGATCTAGCTATCTATAAAGTTTCCTGATGATATCAGAGTTATGTCCCAGGTAAAAGCCAAAGTGTAAAAATGAACAAGGGGCAATAACTCCAAAATTAGACCAGGCTTTGTTTAGGTTCTTTAAGCATTGCAATTCTATCCAATTATATCTAGCTACCTACAAAGTTTCATGTTGATATCTCTAATAGTTTTAAAGTATTGTCCAGGACAAAAGTCAAAAAGTAAAAATAAACAAAGGGCAATTACTTCAAAATAAGGCAAGGCAGAGTAATGATTCTTAAGCACTGCACTTCCACCCAATGAGACCTATCTATCTACAAAGTTTCATGTTGATATCTCTTATAATTTTAGAGTAATGTCCCAGAAAAAGTCAAAGTGTCAAAATGAACAAAGGGAAATAACTCCAAAATTAAGCAAGGCAGAGTAACGGTTCTTGTGCACTGCACACCTACTTAATGAGATCTATCTACCTACAAAGTTTCATGTTGATACCTCTTATACTTTTAGAGTTATGTCCCGGACAAAGTTCAAAGTGTAAAATAAACAAAGGGGGATAATTCAAAAAATAGGCAAGGCAGAGTTACGGTTCTTGTGCACTGCACACCTACTCAATGAGATCTATATACCTACAAAGTTTCATGTTGATACCTCTTATACTTTTAGAGTTATGTCCCGGACAAAGTTCAAAAAGTAAAATAAACAAAGGGGGATAATTCAAAAATTAGGCAAGGCAGAGTTACGGTTCTTGTGCACTGCACACCTACTCAATGAGATCTATCTACCTACAAAGTTTCATGTTGATACCTCTTATACTTTTAGAGTTATGTCCCGGACAAAGTTCAAACTGTAAAATAAACAAAGGGGGATAATTCAAAAATAAGACAAGGCAGAGTTACAGTTCTTATGCACTGCACACCTACTCAATGAGATCTATCTACCTACAAAGTTTCATGTTGATACCTCTTATACTTTTAGAGTTATGTCCCGGACAAAGTTCAAAAAGTAAAATAAACAAAGGGGGATAATTCAAAAGTTAGGCAAGGCAGAGTTACGGTTCTTGTGCACTGCAAACCTACTCAATGAGATCTATCTACCTACAAAGTTTCATGTTGATACCTCTTATACTTTTAGAGTTATGTCCCGGACAAAGTTCAAAGTGTAAAAATAAACAAAGGGGAATAATTCAAAAATTAGGCAAGGCAGAGTTACGGTTCTTGTGCACTGCACACCTACTCAATGAGATCTATCTACCTACAAAGTTTCATGTTGATACCTCTTGTTGTTTCAAAGTTATGTCCCGGACAAGAAAAGGGGACGGACGGACGGACGGAAAGACGGACGGACGGACAAGGCGGCGACTATATGCTCCCCCGAAATTTTTTCGGGGAGCATAAAAAATAAATAATTAAAAAATTAAAAACAAGAACGTGTTTGTTAATTAAAACACAAATGCCCCCACCCCCCCCCCCCCCAGTAACAATATTGCAACTTTATCAAATATATATAAATGTAAGAAATCTATACTTGGCACCCTTGACCTTGACCCACTGACACCTATAGAATATCATGCAAGTTATCTTCCTACCAAATATGAAATACACCTGTCAATAAATAAAGGCTGTATGGGCAAAAATCTTAAAATCTATTTTAAGCACTTGTGACCTTGACACACTGACCCCTAACGCAATCAAAAGGAAGAATACCATGCAAGTTATCTTCCTATCAAATATGAAATACACCTGTCCATAAATAAAGCCTGTATGGACAAAAGTGTAAAAATCTATTTTTAGCACAAGTGACCTTGACCCACTGATCCATATCCCAATCACAAGGATAAATACCATGCAAGTTATCTTCCTACCAAATATGAACTATATCTGTCAATAAATAAAGGCTGTATGTGCAAAAGTGTAAAAATCTATTTTTAGCACTGGTGACCTAGGCCAACTTACCACTAACTCCATCAATTTTATGTTCCTATCAATTATAAATGACATCTGTCTATAGAATAATGGTAAATACACCTGCTAAAATGTAAAAATCTATTTTTAACATTGGTGACTTTGACATTGGTGACATTGACCTTGACCCAAAAAACCCCTTTCTATACCTAGGGAAGGAGGACCTCCCTTGGCATGTTTGTATTAAACATGAAAGACATCAACCAAAAAATAAAGGCTGTATGAGCAAAAATGTTTAAATTTATTTTCTAAACTAGTGACCTTGACCTTAGAGACCACTTACTTCACAAAAAATTAGAGGACCATTAAGGTATCCACCTACCAAATATGCAAGATATCATTAAATAAATTAAGCAATTAGCGGAAATTTACGATAAATCCAACTTGCCGGAATAGGTTAACTAGACAAGGCCCTATTTTCAAAGTGAAAAAGGGTAATAACTGGGAAATATGGATGACACAGTTATATAACTTAGCAATATCATGTTCTTTGTATCGATAAGTAAGTATGGAAATTATGAAGCCATTAGTATAGATAGAACTTACTTACCGTTTTAGGTTAACCATTATTCATTTCTATGTGCTGAAAAGGGCAATAACTTGTTAAATATGGAAGCCATAGTTATGTAACTTGACCACATCATGTACTTTGTATTGATTAGTAAATGTGTAAACTAAGAAGCCATTGGTACAGGTAGATCTTAAGAAAAATCCAACTTGCCGTTCTATGTTAACCTCATACGGACAGACGGACGGACGGTTCAATTACTATATGTCAGGGGGCATAAAAAGAATAATAATATAATAATAATATTAATGATAATAATAAATAATTAATAAATGAATATATAAATATCAACGATACAGAATATATTATTTGCAAGGTCATATCTGCAAGCTAAAGATCCATGTGG